AAAAAAATAATAATAATAAATTGGTGGGATTTCAAAGGGCCCTCTCCCTAGACGGGGCCCTGGGTAGTCAGGTCCACTTTTCCCATGCCTATCATCAGACTGCAGAAACACTTTGATTGACATTCTCCCCTTGAAAATCAGAGGAAAGCCCTGCACACTATTGACCAATAAAACTGAGAAAGAATTCTATTTATATTTTCTCAAACATCAGACTTTAAGCTACATACTGTGAAAATAACTATTCTTAAAAAATTGTCTTTTGCAAAAATGGTGTTACTGCATATATCAACCACAGACTATAGCTATAATAAATTATAACAAGTAATCACTTAACAGTTTGCACTTGTATATTGCATATGACATTGACAGACCATTTTGGGCAATGGGAAAGGTCCTAAAACAACCTGCATATATTTATTGATTTTATTTTACTGAAAACCAATCGTTTTGTACAAACAAGTACACTCTAAAAAAAAACTACACTGTAAAAAATACCTCAAGAGGTCTGCTACCACTACATAGTTTAATACACTATTTTAACTTAAAAATTCTAAAATGCTGATTAGATTAAAACTTTTAAGTAGCCAGAGTAATTATATTAAGTTTTCAAAACAGGTATAAATATCGATAATTACATAAATTTAAAAATGTGGCTAATTTAAAGGCAAATATATCTGTCAGTTACTTTAAATTATTTTTAACTTGTAGCAACCCAACGAAATTGAGTTGATAACTCGATTTTTACACACTAATGGAGTTGTTCTGTATTTTTAAATCCACTGATGTTTTTTTGTTACTTTTTATACTGATAATATGGGACAGAACATGTTTTTGTTTTGTAAAAAAAAAAAAGGAAAACTTGTGGTTTAATACAAATTAAAAATTACAAACAAAAATAAACAAAAATGTTGTTGTTAAATGTATTTCTTACAAGCATGAATGGTAAATTCGAAAACAAACAAAAAATTTAACAATTTCAGATACTTAATTTATTTGAGGTTCTTAACTTGAAAACATGCATGTAATTAAGCACATAACACTGGATTTGTTTTCAATTTTAATTTGAAAAACCTATTTTGAGTTCTCGACTTAAAAATCTGAGTTTTTTGCTATGTGAGAATGCCTCTGATTGAGGAGGAAAAGATTTGGCTAACATAATAAAGTTTGTTGTCTGAACTTCATTTTGTTAGATGTTGTCTTGAAAATTTTAATGCAAACTGTTGCGTTAATTTTTTTGTTTTGTCTAAACAGTATTTTTAGAGTGTAACTCACAAGGTCTGTTACCACTACATTTTTTTTTTCAATTCAATTCAGCTTTATTTGTATAGCGCTTTTACAATGTAGATTGTGTCAAAGCAGCTTCACATAAATGGTCATAGTAACTGGAACAGTGTAGTTCAGTTTTTAGTGTTTAAGTTCAGTTCAGTTCAGTTTAGCTCAGTTCAGTGTGATTTAATCATTACTGAGAGTTCAAACACTGAAGAGCAAATTCATCGATGTGTAGCTCTACCAATCCTGAACCATGCGAGCCAGTGGCGACAGCGGAGAGGGGAAAAAAACTTCACCTGATGGGATGACATAGTTTAATGCATTATTTTAACTTAAAAATTCTAAAATGCTGATCAGATTTAAACTTTTAAGTTGCCAGAATAATTTTATTAAGTTTTCAAAACAGGAAAATATTGATAATTACATCAATTTAAAAATGCAATTTAATTTAAAGGTTAATATATCTGCAGTTACTTTAAAACAATATTTAACTTTTAGCAACCCAAAGAAATTGGGTTGATAATTCACACTAAAAGAGTTGTTTTGTATTTTTAAGTCCACACACTGATGTTTTTTGTTGTTATTTTTGATACTGATAATATGGGACAGTACATGATTTAGTTTTGTAAAACAATGAAAACCTGTGGTTTAATACAAATAAAAAACTAACGAAAAACCAAAATGTTGTTGTTAAATGTATTTCTTACAGGCATGAACAGAAAATTTGAAAACAACTGGGTTTGTTTTCAATTTTAATAAAATAAAAAAAATTTAAACAGCTTATTTTTTGGAGTACTCAAAAAATGTACATTTATGCTGTGTAAAAATGCCTTTGATTGAAGAGGAAAAGATTTGGCTAACATAATAAAAGTTTGTTGTCTGAACTTCATTTAGTTAGATGTTGTCGTAACTTCAATATATTAATGCAAACTGTTGCGTGAATTTTTTTTGTTTTATCTAAGCAATATTTTTAGAGTGTACATACAATCACACGTCAGACGTCTATACTAGTAAGAAAACATTGCACATCTTAAACTGTAGCAAAGATAGAATTGCTTTCAAATTCATAAATACATGTTTATTAAGATTTTATATATTTTCCAAACTTTTATTATTGAAGAGTTTAGATGGAAAAACCTCTAAATGCCGTTTGATATTTTCTTTTAAGGTTAGCATTTTTCTCTTATGTATATGCTCTGAAATTTTACTTTTATAGTGACGAATAAGTCAAACACTTGAACATAAACATAAGACGCTGAGAAAAATCCTCATTTTAGAAGTAGTTTTCAGATGCCATTTAGAGATTTTTGCATCTGAACTTTTCAATTCTTTCATGACTGCAGTATAAACATTTCGCCAACAGAGGGAGACAGACAGTCAAACATCTGTAGCTGAAGCTGGCAGTAGACATTCTCCAGTCACGTGCATGCAATTTACTGTTTGCTCATATGAGGGGTTTACTGTCAGGCAATTACTGCATTTAAACTTCATATCAGCAACTCTTGCATTGGGTTTTACAGAATGCCAGATGTCCTGTTGTGTCATGCTTTTTCAGTTTATTTAGTGATGATCACCCATATCACACTAGCACAGCAACTATGAATTAATTCACTTTGACCATTAGAGGCTGCTTATATTCACACACTGTTGCCACACAACTGTGCTTAAACCCCTAATATTTGTGTAATTGGTCCCCATTGAGGCATTTCAGGTTTTAAAACAGCATCTGCACTTTGTTTTTTGTCTTGTTTTGAATCCAAACATCAACACGTTCTTAAATCAAGAAGCATTTTCTAGACAAGCAAAAAGCAGGGTTTTGTTTTGTGAAGTAATAAGTCAAAGTAAAGTGAGCTTCTCCTTAAAACAAGCCAAATAATCTGCCAGTGTGGTCAGCAAAATAATAATATTTCAATCTGTTAATTCTACTTACCCCATTGGGAGATTATTTTCCTTGTTTTACGGAGAAACTCGCTTCATTTTCATCATACATTTGATTTCTAAAAACAAAACAACATCTTTGCTTGTCAAGAAAATGCTGCTTGATTGAAGAATTAGTGCACATTTAGACTATGATGAGATAAAAACTCTAGGTAAGAAAAGCAATTCTCAGTGTGATGCTGTGGTTTGTTGCAGCTGCAGGTCAGTGGAGTGTATGAGAAGCAGGACCAATGGTGTCCACTGACCTTTGACCCCGCAGTGATTAGGCTTCTTCAAAACATAAACGCTGCTGATTGTGGTCAGCTCTCATTCACGGAGAGAATTCCTGCAGATAACAGACCTGATGCTCTTTGAACTTCTGCTGCACAGAACAGAGTTCAAACACACACACGCACGCACGCACGCACGCACGCACGCACACATACACACAGCTGCTACAGGTAGGACTAATAGTCAAATGTTTTATTTATATATATATATATATCTACATTTATACCATCTGATACTGTTCATTTTGAGGATGTTTACAAAACAGACATCAGTAAACAAACTCAGAATATTCAGCGTCTGTGAAAAGTGATAATAACCAGTGAATTATCTGTGCTCTCTAAAACTGTATTTTATTAAAATTAGGACGTATCATGTACAAAAACATTAATGTTATGTGACTTTTTTATTGAAAAAAATAAATAACAATTAATTGTGTATAATAATAATAATAATAATATATTATAATGTACAAAAAACAGGTATTGTTTGGATGCTTTAGATGCTTCATATTTTTATTATCTGTAAGCAAAAATGTAGTTGTTAATTTTTTGTTCAAGAACATTGAAAACACATTGTTTGAACATGTAATCTAAATTAACTAAATATTCAAATTACACAGTCTAAGATTAATAAATGCTGTTTTATTTACCATTTTGTTTCATGCTAACACTTATAATGTCAATAAACACATAATAGTGTTAACAAGATGAAAAGATAAAATTATTAAAAATGTTTTAAATGTTTTAAATTATTAGATTGTTTCATATTTTTTGTAATACATATAATGTATAATATGAAACTCAAAATTTATTATTATTATTATTATTATTATTATATTAATTTAAATAGAAAATGAATTATTATTACTTAATTTTAATATTTTTAATATTAGTTATTATTAAAATTAATTGCTGTCATCTCAATTACTACATTTCTCAATTTTTTTTGAAAAATGACAATGTATAATTTTCATTATGAAACTCCATTTTAAAAAACAATTATGATTATTGTTATTATTATATCAATTTTTTAATTATGTAACAAACTATTATTATTAAAATAATTAGCTTCATCTGATTTACCGCATTTAGCTATTTTAGTATTTTAAGTATAATATGCAATATGAAACTCACAAAATTAATTATTATTAATATTATATCAATTTAAATATGTAATAACTATTATTATTTAAACAAATTGCTTTGTTATCTGAATTACCACATTTAGTTATGTTCTGCACATTTAAAAAAATTTAAAGTAAAAGTTTGTAGATTACTGGAAATCAAAAATATTAATAGTAATAAAATAGTGGTGAAAGTTTTTTGAGTTCATAAATCTTGCATGCTGTTATTTTGGATGAAAAAAAATCTTATTATCCCTCAACAAAAAAATACTGAATTAAGGTGAACGTCAATTAATAGTGAATTAGTCTGAAATGATTAATCAATGAACACACCCTTTATGGGTAGTTAATGATTCTCTGAATTATCAGACAAACAGCATTGCATCAGAGCAGAAACACTCGCTGGATCTCTGATTTATCAGCTTTGCTTTTTAAGTGAAATTGCTGCTTTTCCTCATTATGAGATTTTAATGTGTTCTATGAGTTGTTTGAGACTTTGAGACTATTATTATTGAGCTAATAATACTGTTTTCACTGCAGTTCAGCAAGTTAAAACCGTTTCTCCGGTCTGTTCACCGTAAACCACACAGATTCTGTTTTATGTTATCACACAGACTGCTAATATTTGGTTTGCAAAAAAATCTGACATCAGCGTGAAAGAAACAGGCATGTACCTGCATTAAATATTGCGTAATAGTGAACTGCACTTTTTAAAGTTTTCTGTCTGGAGGAGCGACACGCTGAAGTCCATTAATAAAAGCTGGAGGAGCAACAAACAAGGAAAACAAGTTGAGAACGGTTCAGTTAAGGTAAGAGCAGATCCATTTTGATTAATAAAAAAAGGGTACAAATAGTAAATTATGCCATAATTCTTTGTTTTACCAAGACTTAAAAGACTTAAAACTGACTTAAAAGATATAAAAATAACAGTCTGAACCAAATTTTATATCTGTATACACACACACAAACACACACACACACAGAGAATAAACACATTTATTCTGTAAATACAACCTTATTTTGGATGTGACTAATGGATTGACAGCACTAATGTACCGTATACATTAGAATCAGAAAGAGTTTGTCAAGTATATTCACACATGACAGTGACGGGACAAAAATAAATAATAAAGGAATTAAGAAATAAGCAAATATAAAATATAAAATATACAATTTAACAAATGCATTACAATATGCACACTATTGTATGTATATTATGCGCAAATTAAAATATAGACTGAGTTTGTTGTTAAATATATAAGTGCAATTGTCTTTAAATAGTGTTGTTGTTGCACAATATAGTGACATGCATTCATTTTCTTTTCGGCTTAGTCCCTTTATTAATCTGGGGTCGCCACAGCGGAATGAACCGCCATGGTGACATGAAAATGGTAAACATTTATATAGAACCCAGATTTTTTGGATTGTGAAATCAATTTCATCATGATCTGCGAAATATTTACAATTATAATTCATATATTATTTTATAAATATTAGGGGCTGGTTGTTGTATTTCTTTGTGCTGTGGCAACAATTCTGCGACAGCTCTTACAAATGACCTGTTTTTGTTCGGTGTCTGTGACTTTGAAACCAAAATGTTCCCATATTACTGACATGCTGTTTTCCTTTGATATGAATTTGTCTATTAATGCACGGTAAAACAAATCTGTAATTTTGGCAGCTGTGGTGGCGGAAACAAAGTCAAATAACAGCCGTTAAATTACAGAAACTTACTGTAAAATAACAGAGGTTGAATTACAGAAATTCAAATTTAAGAATATTTCTGTAATTAATGCCCTTTATTTTACAGTAAATGTCTATAATTTAACAACCCCAGCTGCTGGAAATAAACCATAATTTTTTTTTTTTTTTTACAGTGTGCTACTTAAGCGGCAGACGCCGTCATCCCACTTGTTCGTGGTTTCCTGTTTGTTTGTTTGTTTTTATTGTGTGTGTTCCGCATAGTTCAGTTGCACAATCCTGATTGGGCAGAATAAAAGTGTGCTCACTCAATTGGCTAATTGACACGCAGGTGGCAGTCAAGCATTTGCTCAGGGTGGGGGAAATTAAATTATCTATATACTGTATATTTTATATCACAGCCTCTTGCGATTAGCTAATCGCAACGTTTCAAATTGCGATTGTGATTCGATTACGATTAATCACACAGCCCTAATTCATACATTTAATATTAAAGATAAATAAACCAAAACTAAATTAATTTATCAAATTTGGTACTAAATCAAGCATTGGCATATTCCACTGTAAAATTTGCCTTATTTCAAAATGACCCATGTTCCATACCATAAAATTACACATATACTGTACTTCATATTTAAGAAAATTTTTATTAATCAAGCAGTATTAACATATGCCTATATAAAAATTGTAGAACTATAATTCATATATTATATTTCATATTAAAGATAAATCAACTAAAACTTGATTAAATTAATCATATTTGGTTCTAAATCAATTTGTGTTAGCATATTCCACTATAAACATTTTTTTTTAATTAACCATATTTCGTCCTATAAAGTTACTGTCATATTTCAGAAAATTTAAATTAAATTAAATTAAATTAAATTAAATTAAATTAAATTAAATTAAATTAAATTAAATTAAATTAAATTAAAATTAAATTAAATTAAATTAAATTAAATTAAATTAAATTAAATTAAATCTTGTACTTTAAATTTGCTACTAAATCAAATATGCGCATTTTTCGAAAACCTTAAATTGTCAAATAGTGAGGAGGACATTATAACCCGCAGTTCTCTCTCAACACAAGCGTCTGTTTCCTCCTGCATTTCCATTTCCAGCGAGTGTTTTCAGTGTTTGTTTCTGTCCTGTTTACACACCGTTCCTCTGATTTGACAGAAGAGAGCCGGAGGAATCACTGACTCAGCAAACACACACCAGTGTGAGTGTGTGTGTGTGTATCTGACGCTCACATGCTTCCTCAGCTCAACAAACACACCATCACCAGCCTCCAGCTTTGTTTGTATTAGTTTACTCATTGTCTTGTACAGAATGAGTGCTAATGATGTGTGTCGGTTGTGTGTTTTCTTTCTCAGATGTTAAGGAGCAACAATTGAGATTGTGTTACTGATAGAGAGTCTCTTTCCTTGAATCAATAGCTGCGTTTTCATTGAATGAGAAAAATAAATAAATAAAATCAACACTTCACGATAAGCATGCGCAAATATTGATCAGAAGAGTGTAGTTTAATACATTGGGATTTGCCACCATGGTGTTTGTTCTCTAATAAATGAGTTGTGCCTCAGAAGACGAAGACAAAACATAATGAACGTAGTGAATGGGGTGGCTTTTGGAGGTGTGAGAGGCTCTTCGGGAGCGTAGACTGATGCTCAAGACAGTTCTGGAGGGATTAATAATTGGAGAATAAAAATACTGAAGCACTGTGATGACGGACTGATGGCTGAGGCAGCAGATCTTTTATAATGTAGAGCTGGAAACATGAGCTGCTATTAATTTGTCCCATCACACACATTTTTATCTGATCATCATCTGTCAAAAACTAAATCACATCACGCAGACTGATGAAGCGCATGCACAGATTTATTCACCAAATGTGTTGCATTGGAGTTTACGCACATTATTTCTCGTCGGACAAAATGTTTGTCCTTCTCAAGTGTGTGCAAATGTTTTTAATTTACATTTTCACATTGCATGCGTATCTTGATGTTTCCGTTAAGTATTTTTTATGCAATATTTCTAAATGTGCATAAAATTCGGTGGATGGAAACGACCAGCAGTGCTCTGAAACGTGTCTTATCTTGCAGTGAAAAGTATTCAGACCAGATATGGAGAGTCAAATCAGAGTATGCAATGCTGTTGTTGGGTGGAGGATTTTAATGATTGTGTATTCAGAGGTTATAAATAGTACACGTTCACATAGGATGGTCTTTTACATGCATATCTTCATGGCTTTTAAAGTTTATTAGCAGTATTTGCTAAGACAAAGGTTTCCATTACTCAGTCTTAAGGTCACTGTTTTGATCAGGCCACTATATAACATATAGTGAACATATATTATGTAACATATATCATATATATATAACATGTTATTTATATATATATATATATATATATATATATATAATTTTTTTTTAATAAATAGGTAAATGAAACTATAACATTTGGTATAATCTTAAGCTTTATTTATTACAATAAAAGCAAAATATATAAAGAGCTTTATGAGCTTTGATAAAATAAATTAGACATTTGATAAATTATGTTAAATTAGATTATCATTCATAAATGTATTAATATTTTTGTAAACTAATTTTAATGAATTATAATTTTAAAAGAAATCTTAATGTTAATTATAATAAAAAAAATATATATATATATATATTATGTTTATTGGCGATGCAGCAGCGCAGTAGGTAGTGCTGTCGCCTCACAGCAAGAAGGTTGCTGGTTCGAGCTCCGGCTGGGTAAGTTGGCGTTTCTGTGTGGAGTTTGCATGTTCTCCCTGCCTTCGCGTGGGTTTCCTCCGGATGCTCTGGTCTCCCCCACAGTCCAAAGACACAGGTCCAGGTGAATTGGGTAGGCTAAATTGTCGGTAGTATATAAGTGTGAACGAGTGTGTGGATGTTTCCCAGAGATGGGTTGCGGCTGGAAGGGCATCCGCTGCATAACAATGTGCTGGATAGGTTGGCGGTTCATTCTGCTGTGGCGACCCCAGATTAATAAAGGGACTAAGCCGAAAAGAAAATGAATGAATGTTAAATGTTAAAATAAAATAAAAGGTTCATATTAATTTACTTTTTGTGATTATTACACCATAGTAGATAAATTGACTGAACAACCAGGTGTTTTTAATTAAGTATTTCTAATTGTTTATTTATTAATTTACATATTTATTTATTTTCACTTTTAGGAACATAAAATCATATTAATGATTTTCATTATAAAAAATATAAATGCAAATAAATAATCATTAAAACTGAGTTTACAGACGGAGGTTTCATTTTTTGTGATTAGTAGCACTACTTGTTTGGTAGGGGAAAAAACAGTTGAGCCCTAAAGGTGACTGTGTAATGAATAACTAATCATTTTATTAAATTGCATAATCTGACAACTTTTCCTAAACGTCCCTATACCTTACGCCCTTAAACATAATGCTGAAAACAGGCTCATTTACAGATTATGAGACATAAATTAAAATGTGAGTAACAAAACCTCCCCTTATTAGTCATTTCATGAAAAACATTTATCAGTGATAAACAAGAACATTGTTCAATTCTGCAATACATTCAATTTTAACCACAATAAAGCAGAAGGCAAGCTGATGTTGATTCAGATCAGTTCAATGACTCAATCTTGTATTGAGGTGTTTATGATTATTAATATATTTTAAACCTCCATATTGACATAGCATAAGTATCCAAACAGCTGTTTCTTATTCTAGCGATAACAGGAATTGTCTGTATGTGCGAATATAAAACCAGCTTCACCTTAATACATTAAGCATTTGACATGGGGCATACTGACAACAACTGACTAATCACATGGAGAAGAAAAGGCCATAAAGTATAGCACATTTTATGATCCACAAAAAAAGGGGTAAATTAAATATACCTTACAATAGTTTCAAGAATGTTAAACGTTTTCAAACAGCTGTTAACAGTAAATGTATTTTTATAGATAAGTGGCATTAATTGAGTTTGTTCAGCCATTAGAAACTAGCATAAACACAATATGAATTCACCCAGGAGATTCATATACAATTTCATCATCAAGCACTCCTTAGTAAAACGACTATGACTGTCTATAATGC